CTGTAAAGAAACCAGGCATTTATGTATTGTGGGTAGAAGTGCAAATCAGCAAAATACTTCAGTCTTATTAAGAGCAATCTGTAACATATAACATGACCACTGATTGTTCTATTTAGAATTGCCTACATCTCCCGAACAACACAGAACAAGGTTATCCATTCTGGTGTTTTTGTTCATATGAGAATAGAAACAAGCCACTGTTCACCAACGGGAGACTGACAAAAAAGCTGCTGCTAATTATCCAGAATGAACTATTGTATGGCCAGAAAGAAACAGTCTATATACTGATAGAGGGTGGAGCTGGCAAGCTGCAGGATGTGGACATCACATGCTTGCTACCTTATTTTTAATGAGAAAGGGAAAATGAAAACCGTACAAGTATTTATTTACTTTTTGTCAAAAGACACAGGAAAAAACATGGAAGCTGATGAAAATTGTTCTCCATTATGGATGTGAGAAAGGAAGGGAGAGAGTGTGGTGGCAGAGATTCTTCCTTTCACACGCTTTCCTATAGCATTTAAGTTTTGAAACATGTCCATTTTTCTACATGTAAGTAATAAATTGAAACCAAAGGAGGAAAGTATGAAGTGCCAAAATTGAGAACAAATGGAAACAAAGGAACCTAATGATCTATTATTCGGGAAGCATAATTGCATGGTGAGTAGGCTTATTCCACATGAACATGCGCTGTCTCCAAGTTCTAGAAAGCTCCATTCTAAGGACAAAACCAGCTCCAATGACCCCCAAACTTTATTCAACAATTTTGTTTTTATAATAGTTTTGATTGTGGTATACAGCAACTAAGTATATTTTTGAATATTTTTGGAAGCATATTTTTCATTTTTATAGAAAAGATACATACATAAATACAAAAACAATGGAAAATAATCTGTAATGTTTGATTTCATTTGGAAATATTAATGTGAATTCATGATTTTGTAAACATACAAGAACTGAAAGGTCACCCCAGCAATGACATTTATTGCCCCATGCTGGTTTCTAAGTTGTTTCCCACCAAGTGTGACCATGTCAGGGAAAACGCACATTGAGCGGGAACACCTGGTATCATAGAAAGTTATGAAGCATTCAAAGATGAATAGGGTTATGTCAACAGACACCAGCTGGAAGGGCTTTCAGTGACTAAGCATGAGACAATTAGACCATCAAAAGGAAAAACCGACTGCTTTTCATACACAATAATGCACAAACCCCTGAGAACAGGGTAGAAACTGCACTGATAAGGGAATGTTGGTTGCATTAGTTCTGCCATTGGTCCTATTATACCAACTTCCAATGAAATAATGAATTCAGAAAATGGTTTTATCTAAAACCACTGGGTCAGGGCTGGCAAGATGTCACAGTAGATACAAGGGCCCTTGCCACCAACCCTGACCACTTGAGTTCAAAATCCAGAATTTATATGGTGGAAGAAGAGAACAGATTCCAGCAAGTTGTCCTCTGACCTCTGCAGGACAGATTGTGCATGCACACACACCCACAATAAATAAAGTAAATGTAAACACAAATTTAAAAAGTACCCAATGGGGGCAGGAGAGATGGCTCAGTGGTTAAGAGCTGTTCTTGCAGGAGACCTGGGGTTGAATCCCAACACCGAGATGGCAGCTAACAACCATCCATTATTCCATTTCCAGGGGATCTGATGCCATCTTCTGTTATCCTTGGGCACTGCATGACATGGGTGCACTTATACACGTGCAGGCATAACTCTCATACACATAAAATAAAAACAAACAATCAAAAATATTTTTTAAAGAGCAATGATCAATTTAAAAAAAGAGTAACAGTATTTCTTGCATCACAAAGTCTCACCCCCAGATTACTTGCTAATCGCTAATGGAGGCACCTGAAGTCACCATAAATCGTGGTGATGAAAGTTAGCGGCATTCAGCATCCTCTGACAGGATGAAGCCTGAAACACAAAGCCCTACCACTATTATGCTCCTTTCAATCATCGCAAACCGAAGTCTACTCAGGTTTATAGGCATAATATCATTTGCAGGAATGACAGCAGCTAGAGGAACAAGTTAAATAATCCCAGAGGAAACTGTCCAAGAAATCCAGAAAAGAAGTATGGCAAAGATAGCTGTATAGATCTACAAGTATTCAGGGTAGATTCTGTGGGCAGGCCATTTGTAATTAGCCTATAAATGTCATCATTGTCCTAAGTTTCAAATTTTCTTCACATTTAAAACATTTCACAATAAAGAAAATAGGAACGAATGTCTCCATTGATTGCCAATATTTCACTTGGAAGGATTGGAAGGATATCAAGAACAAATTGTTGAGGCCTAGAAAGATGGCTTAGTAGTTAACAGTGTATACTGCTCTTGCAGAGAACCCAAATTCAGTTCCCCATGGCAGGCAGTAATTCCAGCTCCAGGGGACCAGAGGCCCTCTGCTGGCCTCCATAGGCACTGGCACTCATATGCACATACCCATACATAGACACCTGCATACGATTAATTTAAAAAGAACAAATTGTTGCTTTTTAGATGCAGGTTAGAAAACAAATAATATACACTCATTTTATAAAATAAGCATAGTACATATGCTAAAAATATAAATTACACCTGTACAAACAACAGCCGCATTTATAGCAGCACTAGTCATAATTGCTAAAAAGTGGGAACAGCTCAAGTATCCATCAAAATATGCATTGATAAATAAGAGGTATCTACTTCCAATGGGTCATTATTCAGCCTTAAAACAGATGGAAACAAGACGTGTGCTATAAATGGATGAAGCTAGAAGACATTATGCCAAGTAAAATAAAGCAGTCAACAGAAGAAAAATTCTGCACAGATAGTGGAACAATATTAAGCAATCAACATGTACTTAAAGAAGTATCTTGAAGAGTATGTATGTGAATACAGAGCTGATATTTCTGTAAGTTAGAATACCTGGGCTCCCAGGATTCATTGCAGAGTGGAGGAACTGGGGGAAGGGTTTCAGCAGTTTCAGACCCCACCAGCATGCTCTGACAGTGGGAAGGAGGAGAGGACAGCCAGCAAAGTAACAGCAGGTCGAAACAAGCAAGATGCATGCCATGCATTTACTGAAGTGCCATATTGAACCTCATTATTTTGTTTGTTATTTAAAAAAATTTAAAAGCCCAGAATATTTTTAAAAGCCAGGATTTCTAGGTGAATTTACTTCCCCCCTTTCTTTTTTTCCATTTGTTATATCGGACACACATGAGTTTTACAAAACTCATAAACCTGTTTTTTAAAAGAAATAACATTTCTGTAGGCTGTCAGTGTTTTGGAAGACATAAGGGCAATACAGCTGAATACATAGGGAAATAGGTCTAGCAGTAAATGAAAGAAATTGTCATACTACCTGAGAATTTTGTTACAAGCATCAAAAATACTTTGTCCCATGTGGTGAGAGGCCAGCTGGGCAGAGAGCATTTCCTCTGCACTGAGGTTGCCTTACAGAGCTCAAACTTCTGAACCCTTGCCTGGGCCTGATCGACTATGACCTTGCTCAAGGCTGAAGCCCAGCAGCAGGTGGCAAGCTTTGTGGGAATCCAGTCCTCCCCTGCCAGCACTTCTGCTTAGTTTGGTGTCTAGCCAGCAAGTAAACAGTGTGGATCCAGAGGCATTGCCAACCCCCTCTCTCCGGCCAGTGTTGGAAGTGGAGAAGCATGCTGCCAGACCTGGGTGCGGGAGATGTGAACTCAATTCCTCTTGCTTGCTCAGTAAGCACTTTACCTATTGAACCATCATCCCAACACAAGATTAGCTCCAATTTTAGGCAGTATATTCTAAATACATATTGGCCTTTCTGTCCACATTGCTCCCACCTCTAAAGGCATGGGATATTTCATTTATTGTTTTGTTTATCCTTGTTAAGCCAGTTCATATGTTTTCTGTAATAAGCAGAATATACATAAATGTATAAAACAAGGTAATGATCATATTTCCATACTACATTATAGAAACTAGAAGTACAGTGCTAATAGTGATATTATTCTGACCACATAGGTAATAATTATTGATAATGCTGAAGATAATAAGCATGTATGCTGACTTGGAGCAGAGCAGATGCATACTGTATGAGCACACCTTATTGTAATGAGTCTCACCCAGCAAAGAGTGTTGGTTGATCATCTGCTTCCTTGTGATGCTGGGGTCTGAGCCCATGCTAGGCAGGTGATCTGCCACTGAGTTATACTTCCAGTGCAATGCTAGGCTTCCCCTTCACCTATGAAAACACTTCTCTGAGGTCAGGGCTTTGGCACCCATGTTGCTTGAGCAGCAACGTAGCCTGGGTTTTGAAGTGGTGAACCTGGTGGCTTTACCCAGTACCAAGAATGCTTAGCTTTAAAGGAGATAAACAAAATATATCTAGAGACTTTTGTCACAGACATGTAGTCACCAGAATAGGCCAAGAACATGTAGGTAAGCTCAAGTTGATGGAACTATTTTTTCTGGGGGCTCCTCATTTTTTGACCTTGCTGTCCCAGGCTCCTCAGCCTATGTTAGCAGAGCCATTACTCAACAGAGGTCATTTACCAAGGATTAATAGGCCCGTCCAGGGAGTGAGGTATAGGTGCTTTGTCTGCCTGTCTTCAGCAAGTTCTTATTTTCAGGATGGTCCTGTAATTCCTTGACTTAGCTCCACAAGAACTCAACCAAGCCAAGGGTGGTACCCTCTTTTGTCCTACTGCTAAATAAATAATCATAAGCCAGCTGTGAAACAGAGTCATGTCTTTCTGTGTCGGCATCCTAAGCCTAGGGTCTGCCATATTGTAGTTCATTCATAACAGTTCGTCTAATGAATATTTAATTTTAATCTCTGGATTTTAATTTTTCCACATTTGGACAGTTTGATGTGAATTACATTTATAAAGAGCAAATGAATGCCTAGAAATTATTTTTAGGTTATTTACATCAAAGGACTTTTAGCTTTATGCTGATGAAAGACATGATGATTAACATAAGTCCTAAACTATTTTCTTTTAACCCATCTTTCAGATTATTTGAATATATTTTACTCTACAAGGATGGAGTGATGTTTCAGATTGAACAAGCCACCAAACAATGTTCAAAGATCTCCTTGACAGAACCCTGGGATCCTCTTGACATTCCACAGAACTCCACCTTTGAAGACCAGTACTCCATTGGGGGCCCTCAAGAGCAGATCACAGTCCAGGAGTGGTCAGACAGAAAGTCAGCCAGATCCTGTAAGGATGGGATTCAAGCCTTGCATCTTGGGGCATACTGATGAGGAAATAAAATGATTTAAGTCCCTTATGGAAGGTAGTTGTTAAGGAAAGCCGCAAGCTTAGATAAGCTGTTTAAAGCCCATCTAAATCCCTCTGTATATGTTGCTGCTATGTGACCCTGAGATCGTAACAGTTTATTGAAAAATGTCCATGAGGGCTGGAGAGATTTCTCAGTTGTTAAGAACCAGTTTCCAGAACCCACATGACAGCTAACAACTGCCTTTAACTCTCGTTCCAGGGGATCCAATGTCCTCCTCTGACCTTTGTGGGTACTGCACATGTGTGGCACACTTGCATACATACAGGCAAAATACTCATACACATAAAATAAAAATAAATAAGATATTTTTTAAAAAATAAAAAAGAAACGCCTCCATTTTCTAGTGTGACTTGCATGTCTCTGTCATTCCAGCTCTTCCCTTTGCTGTAAACTTTTCATGACTACCTCTTGGCTTGTGATAACTTTTCCTTCCCCAACATCACTTCCTAAAGCTGTAGTACCAGACTGGCTCCATTACTCTGAGAGAACTTGCCTGCTTCGATACAAAATATTCCTTTAATTCTGAGATTGTCTTAAATATGAGGATTAGACATTATCATGCTATGTGAAACAGTATGGCATTTATCAAAAAATATTAAACAATATAACATGGATGGGGGGAGCTTCACAGGATCTCACCTCTAGATGAAGAACTATAGGCCATTAATGGCTACTGAGAGAGAATCACTTTTCTCCAAGTAGGAGCTCTGCAATAGGTTATCCAATCCCAAGTGGTCAGCCCTAAACCACATGTACATATAAGCACCACTAAATTTATTAAGTAGGTTGCTTATATGTGTACACACACACACACACACACACACATATACATATGTACAGCTGTAACAGTAATAATTAAAGAAGAGGTCAGGTAATTGAGAGAAAGTAGGGGGAACATGGGAGGAATTGAAGGGGGAGAAGGTTGGGTGGAAGGGTAGAAATAATATAAATGTAATACTCGTGTACAACATTCTAACAATAATAAAAATTAAATATTAAATTAAAAAACATATTAAGCATAGACTCATCATTTGGTCCAGAGCTTCTGGTTCCGGATATATACCTAAAGAATGATGGGGGAGATTCAAACAGATATTTCTACACCCATGTTCATAGTGGCATCATTCTCAAGAGTCAAAAGTTGGAAATAAATCAAATACCCATCAGCAAATAGATAAACAAAATGTAATATATCTGTAGAGCGGACTATTATTCATCCTTTGAAAGGAAGGAAATTCTGGCATATAACATGAATAAACCTCGAGGACATTGTCTTAAGAGAAATAACCCTGTTAAAATGTTCACTATTGTGTACATGAAGTACACAGATACTTCGGACAGACAGTAGTGTGCTGGTGGTCAGGGGCTAGGGGAGAAGGCCAGGAATTATTGTTTGATAGATACATAGTTTTCAGTTTTGGAAAAAGAAAATGTTTAAGGAAGGGTGGTGGTGATTGCTGTACAACATGAATGCTTCCAGACTGAATGCTTAAAAATGGTTAAATGGTGCATTTTAAGTTATGTATATTTTACCACAGTAAGAAAAAAGTGAAGGGATTCTGGGCCTTCTCTCCTAAAAGGTAAACTTTCTTCCTCTTTAGATGAAACATGGATCGGCATTTACACGGCCAAGGATTGTTACCCTGTGCAGGAGACCTTCATCAGAAATTACAGTGTGGTCCTGTCCACCCGTTTTTTTGATCTGCAGCTGGGCATTAAAGACCCCTCTGTGTTCATCCCACCGAGCACGTGCCAGATGGCCCGGGCAGAGAAGATGAGCCAGGGCTGCACCTAGTGAACCTCAGGTGAAGAAGCCATAGTTTGGCCTCACTGATGGTGACCCTGGATGGAAACAGTTTAGAGACTGGTTTGTATGTGACTCTTCATTGGAAATAAAGACAATTTTAGGAGGATAAACTCTGACATGGGTTTTCATCTACATCTGGTTTTGGCTGCTCAGCTCCATTTACAGAAGGAAAATGGAGATCGTATGGCATTCTCAACTGGCAGGCAGGGACACATTGGCCATTGAGAATGTCACCTTGGGTCTGTGCTTTCTATGTGCAGGTGTACTCAGCTGGGTGGAGGAGGAAGGGGAGTGGAGGTCAACAGGAACAGTTCGCCTCTTCAGGGATGAGTATTTATCACTGATAAAACAGCAGAATGATTTTGGTTGGTTTTCTTGTGAATGGTTAAGTTCCTTACAAACAAAGGCCCCTGTTTGCTATCACTAGAGTGGCCACTGTTTCCGAGGACCGCAGCCCTGCTTTTAGCTACTGTAAAGTGATCCCTTAAGTATTTCTTCCAGGCTTGAGCTTTATGGCATGGCCCAATGTATATAGATACTCTGGAAGGAAGTAGAAGTTCCTAACAAAATATAATTCCTCTAAAGAGAAAGATAAGTTTTAAGCAGGAGCTTTGGACAATCTAAGAATCTACATGTGATGAAGCGAGAGATATGTACATCCTGTTTTCTATGCAAGAGTCTTGATGTGTGTTGAACCTTCATGTGTGTCCTAGTGGGCAGACAGGGTTCAAAAACTGTGCTGAACCAGGAACACCCCCCCCAATCAATACTAGAATTCCATGTGCTTTAACCCCTTTGGGTATTAAATGCACTAGGGTCACCCTTACCTTGGGCCTTCCTGAGACTCTGTTTCACAACCACTAAGTCTATATGCCTGCTGCTCATCCTTCCCAGGTCAGCTGGCATAGACCACTGAGAGCTGCTCCCAACCTGATTTCACTGCACCTTGCAGCCTGAGCATGCTTTCCTCACAATACTCATTATGCTGTGTGAAGAGATCCTGATTCTTGGGAACTACCTTCCAATATCCCAGCTAAGAACCCCCTTGAGTACAGGGTGCCATGTTTTGTTTATTTTGCTATCTCTAGCACCAAGTAAGTGCCTGGCACGTGGTCAGTGCCCTCAATATTTGTAGAGTGGAGCACACTGTCTTCATTGGTCCTCAGTTTCTTCATCTGTAAAGTAGAGGAGGGTTTACTGATTGCTGGGAAGACTTCCAGTAATATAACTTATTATTCTAGATTCTTCTATCATTGTGTTCCATCTGGCCATACATCTTCTTTAGTTATCAAGAGAAATGTATGATGCTTGCATTATGCTGAAAATAATATTATAGCTTAGTTATATAGTTAAATTTAATGACATCTCAAATTATTCTCTGATATATTTGCTTTTGTAATAAATATATATTAACTTGATTATAAGTTAAAGCTTATAAAGTAAATAAAGTACTTCATGTAATCAAATCCAAACTGGTTATTGTCTTTTGAGTTTCTAGTTGTCTGGGTCAAAAGGAAGCTTCAAAGCCACCTTGACCATTTTCCTACTTCAGTCTCCACCACTAATCAGGACCCCAAGTACATCACAGTGTTTCCAAAGCTACTGTATATGTCTATGTCCTCAGCTACCACTAGGTCTGGGCTCTTAACATCCTTGACTTTGGGAGCATGTCCTGTTCTTGTCTGTTCTCATTCATTCATAATTGTGAGCCCACACCAAGCTCCTGCAGTAGCCATGCTGACTCCTGGAATCATAGAGTAAGGTGAAGCCCAGTCAAAGACTGGGAAGAGAGGCCCAACTGCATTCAAGGAGCCCCAGACTGTCAAGGCTGTGTGGTAGTGTGTACCTACTTCCCATCTCCCCACCCACAGAAGGGCCTTTCCCCTGTACAAACCACAGATCTCTCCTCAACCCTGGGACTCTAGGCTTAGCCCAGACTACATCCCCGTTCATAATAGAAAGACAACTATTTTATTCAGGAACGCAGACAGTAGATGTGCTTTTCTTTTTCAGTGGTCCCACTGTAGTGATTTATGCTCCTTCACAGAAGTGAATAAAAAGCCCAGAGAGATTTTACATTTGGTGGGAAGCACAACACAGATCTGATTGGGCTGAACTCCTGAGTTTCTCCACTGCCTAAGCAGACAGCAGAGCCCTCCTTGAATAGCAGACAGGAATTTTATTCATTCAACTCTTTCTTTCTTTGAGAAACAATGCCCACAGCTTAGAGAATGGGCTTATTTGCCTGCATTTGGAAATGAGATTAAGTTCTGTAATTGAAAGCACAAGACCAGTATCTAATGAATAGATTAGTTCTCAAATTTAGAAAGATAAGCAGTGGAAAAAGAGGATCTGAAAATTTGGGGCTAATAGCTTGGGAAATCACAGTTTGTTACTGGGTTACGTCTGAGTGTCAGGAGGGTTTCTCCGTGGACCATCTTGTTCAGAATCTTGCTAGTGGTCATGATACAATAAAGTTGTTAAATAGGACCTGGATGAAAAGAAGAGTAGCAGATAGTACCTCAGTACCTTACACATCTCGAACACGGCTTCATTGAGAAAGGGAGTCTAAATTAGAGTGGGGCGCCACGGGAAATCACAGTTTGTTACTGGGTTACGTCTGAGTGTCAGGAGGGTTTCTCTGTGGACCATCTTGTTCAGAATCTTGCTAGTGGTCATGATACAATAGAGTTGTTAAATAGGACCTGGATGAAAAGAAGAGTAGCAGGTAGTACCTCAGTACCTTACACATCTCAAACACGGCTTCATTGACAAAGGGAGTCTAAATTAGAGTGGGGCGCCACGCTGTGGACACCTGCCTCCACTATCTCTGACTCTGCTACACCGGAACAACAATTTCCACCTTGCCCAAGGCAGCCTTGCTGCCTCCAAGTTGCCAAATCCTTGCAAACAATCTCTGAGGAAAAGTTCCATGAAGCACTTACAAGTCCCCAGGGAGCTAAATTCACATTATTCAAAAACTCAGTACTCAGCTGGCTTCCTCTGCTCCCTCCTCTTCAGCTCCCTCCCCTCAGCTCCCTCCCCTCAGCTCCCTCCTCTTCAGCTCCCTCCCCTCAGCTCCCTCCCCTCAGCTCCCTCCCCTCAGCTCCCTCCCTTCAGCTCCCTACTCCAGCTCCCTCTCCTCAGCTCCCTCCCCTCAGCTCCCTCCCCTCAGCTCCCTCAACTTCACCACTCCTTTGTTGGTTTCAGGTCTGTGTATTTGCCTAAAGTACACATGGTGCTTTTCAGTTTTTCCAGATATGCTGACCTGGTCTTCCTCCAGCCAGAGAAAGATTCTCCAACACAGGAATGATGTCTCTCATTTATGATTAGTCAAAACAATTTTATGATTTAAATTGAATGAGATAATGAGCCTCTTCTGCCAAAGGAGTAATTGAGATATGTGTCTTTCAAAGAAAATTTAATTTTACAGACATCCTAACATCAATAATTGTCTCTTTTAAGAGCTTTGCTGATAGTAACAACAGAACTATATTTTTATTTATTTTAGGATAGAATTACAAACTCAGCTACATGTGCAGAAAAACGCCGGGTCCATAATTCACTGCCTTTCATGAAGGAAGAACAGTATTTATTTCTATAATATTTCAATACTAAATGTAATTGTTTTCATCTGAACAAAAATTAACACAAGATGTTCAGTTTCTGCCGTATTCAGAGTTGGGAAAATAGTTTCAGCAATGTAGGCACGATGCACAGTGAGTACGAAATGTGCCGCATTCAGGTAATCGGAGTGTGTGTGCTTGTGTTTAGCACTGTGGTTGCCGTTACTTCATTCCCGGTGGCTTACTGTGTATTTATATTAACATACAGGTGCTCAAATCACATAGCTAAGTCTTCTTTTCCTCTAATACAATAATTTTGATGGCAAAAGAGGTGCTCTTTGCATAAAATCTCAACTGCTATACTTCCACACAGGAAAGGACATTTGGGAACAAAATTAGACTCTGTGGGTGCATATATATACATATATGTATACATCTATATTAGAATACATTAAATTGGACAGGGGAAGTAAGGGAAAGTGGATAATGGTATGTGAAAGTCATTGAATTCTATTGTAGGGAGATGTTGCCCGAGTTCTCTAGGGTCCCTTAGCTCCTGGTGCTATTAGACAAACCACATAGCACATCTTTATCTGAATTTTTCCTATTTTATATTCAAGGTGGGGAAATAGAGTAAGGTACAAAGGCGAACACCCGGCACCCGTTCTGTTCTGTGACTCAGTGGCCAGCAGGTCCAGATTGTTTCCTCTGCCCACAGTCTCTTTTAGCTTTCGCTCATGCCTTGTGGGCCCTCAGTCTTGCCCCAGGTCAGTAAATGCCTGCTTTCCAGTCTATGCAGGAGAGACACGGGGGCCATTTTTTCCAAGCTGCTTGTTTCCAAGATGCCCCAATGCTCCTCCCTCCTCACTAACTCTCTGCAGTTCCCTTTCTGTACCTAACTCTCTGCAGCAGGCCCCACCCCTCAGAGGAATAAGTGCCCCCCCAAGACACAAAGGCCACAAGATTTAACAAAAATTTTAAAAATAAGCAAAGACAGGCTGGAGAGATGGCTCAGCAGCTAAGAGCACTGACTGTTTTTGCAGAGGACCCAGGTTCGATTCCCAGCACCCACATGGCGACTACAAACCGTCCTTAACTCCAGTTCCAGGGGAATCTGAAGCCCTCTTCTGACCTCTGCAGCATTGTACGACACGGGTGTACTCACATACATGCAAGCAATACACTCATACACATAAAATAAAAATAATAAATAAACTATTAAAAATAAGCAAAAACAACACCTTCAGAATATACTTCATTTTAATTTTCACGATATTTACACACCACAAAACTGAACTTCAGTTGTTGTGTTTCCACAATTATACTTTCATATACTTTTTGTTGTTGTTGTGGTGGTGGTGGTGTTGGTTTGTCTGCAATAACCCCTGAGCCTTGGGAGGCAGAGGTTTGAAACAGGTGTCTTATTCAGAGATAAGCATTCTGCAGCCTATAGGTGTCTACACACTGGCAAAGTGTGGGTTTTGGTTTTGATCACCATGTGCTGTATATGAAAACTTCTCCGGTGAGAGTGGAGAAATGTATTTGCCTATGCTTAGAGATTGCATTGAAAATGTGTAACTTAAGGGCTAAGCATCTCACAGACAGTTATTTTATTCATTTGAGCAGTTCTAGAACTCTGTAATGGTCTCCATCTGTTGTAAAAAAGAAAATTCTTTGGTAAAGGGTGAAAAGCACCCTTGACTGTAAATATGAGGCTGCATATTTAGAATAAAGTAAGAAATTACATTGGTCTAGGGATGTGGCAAAAGTGGGTTTTTCTATGTTGATCACCTTCAGGATAAAAGTGCCACTACTACGCCAATAGCGGTAGTTTGTTGGGCCAGTCATTGTTATTTTTTAGGCTCTACCATTTACAGTGGTAGGACCATTGATTGGTATTCTCTTTCTACAGCTTCCATAGTATCCTCTAATATCATGAGAGCTAATCTTTGAGGAGGAGACTTCCAGGTCAGTTCCAGCTTGTTTGCTCTAAGTCCTGTGTCTCTAGTATGGCCTGTCTTCAGTAATAGAGTCATATCTTCAGGTTTTGAGAGGCAATCAAAGGCTGTGGCAATAGCCTGTGTTATTTTGGGACTCTCTTGGGCTACCCTGGTGAACAACTTGAAGGGAGATTTCCCCTGCCTGGCACTGTGTTTCTTATTATCTAACCTTCAGCCATACACATGAACTAATACATATATATATATATAGTGTGTTTTTCAGTAGACTTTGAACTAATACATTTCAGAATTAGTTATCTCTCCACTATCCCTATCTATCACTATCCCTGTATAATCCTCCCTACTCCCTTTCCAGTTAAAGACATTCCTTTTCCCAATTTCCCACTCCTCAATAACACCTGTCTCTTACGATTCCTCTCTGTGGAACTCCTTTTTCTCCTTTACCCCTATGATTTCTTTCCATTTTCCTGGCTCTTATGGTTACAGCAGGATACATACTCACATCTAAGGATTTGGAGCTAAAATACACAAATGAAAAAAAATATACCTTGCTTCTTTTTCTGACTCTGTTACTTAGTGTAACGCTTTCTAGTTTCATCCATTTATATGCATATTTCATGCTTCCATTTTTCTTTACCATTGAGTAAAACTCCACTATATAAATCTACCATATTTTCATTACCCATTCATGAACTGAGGTACATTTAAGGGTGTTTCCATTTCTTAGATATTGTAGAAAGAACAACAAACATGGCTATGAAATATCTCTGCAATAGGATGAGACCTTTGGGTATATGCCAAAGAGTGGTATGACCAGATCATATGACAGACTTACTCTTAGCTTCTAAAGAGTTCCCCATACTGATTTCCACAGTGGTTGCACCAGTTTCCAATCCCAACAACAGTGAATGAGAGTTCCCCTTTGCCAGCATTTGGTGT